GGCAGCCAGAAAGAAACAATTCAAGTATTGTAGAAAACATAATCAGGATACACAAGATTTAGCAGCTTCTACATTAGGATTGGAGGCATGGAAATATATTCCAGGGGCAAAGGAGATAGGATTACAACCAAGAATCACTTACCCAGCAAAACTGAGTATAATCCTTCAGGGTAAAAAATGGTCATTCAATGAAGCAGGGGACTTTCAAGCATTCCTGATGAAAAGACCAGAGCTGAATATAAAATTTGACTTAAATACAAGACTCAAGTGAAACATGGAAGAGGTAAACAGGAAAGAGAAATCATAAGACACTTACTAAGGTTGAACTGTTTACATTCCTGCAGGGAAAGATGATATTTGTAACTCATGAGTCCTTTGTCAGTATTAGGATAGTGGGAGGGAAAAAATTGTATGTATGTATAGATAGATAGAGGGTACAGGGTGAGTTGAAGATGAAGGGGTGATATCTGGAAAATAAAATTAACGGGTGAGAGAAGATTATACTGGAAGAAGGAGAATGGGAGAAGTAGAACAGGGTAAATTATCTCACGTGAAACAGACAAGTAAAAGCTTTTACAGTGGAGAGAAAATGGGGGAAGGTGAGAGGGAATGAGTGAATCTTATTCTCATGGGATTTGGCTTAAGAAGGGAGTAACATACACAATGGGGTATGGAAATCTATCTTACTCTACAGAAAAATAAGGGGGGAAGAGGACAAGAGAGCATGGGGTTGATAGAGGGGACAGCAGATTGGGGGAGGGGATAATCAGAAGCAAACACTTCTGAGGAGGGACAGGATCAAAAGAAAGAATAGAATAAATGAAGGGTAGGATAGGATAAAGGGAAATATACTTAGTTTTTCACAACAGGACTACTATGGAAGTGTTTTACATGACTACACATCTATAACCTGTATCAAGATACTTGCCTTTTCAATGAGAGTGGGTGGGAAGGGAAGAAGGGAGAAAATTTGTAACCCAAAGTTTTAAAAACACACGTCAAAAAAAAATAAAAAGACCTCTAGTATGTAGGGTGGAAAAAAAAATCTGGCCTTGGACACTTACTAGCTATGTGACCCTGAGCAAGTCACTTAACCTTGTTTGTCTCAGTTTTCTTATCTGTAAAATAAGTTGGAGAAGGAATGGCAAACTACTCCAGTATCTTTGCCAAGAGAGCCCCAAATGGGGTCATGAAGAGTTGGACACTATTGAAGTGATCAAACAATAATGACCATGTATTGATCATGATCAAAGTTGATCATCTTTTATCTAGTTTAAACATACCCCATTCCTTCAGCTTATCCTAGTATGGCATGATTTCAAGGACCTCTACCACCCCAGTCATTTTCTGGGCATATTCTGGCTTGCCAATACTTGAATATGTAAAGGATTTCAGGGATTTTTCTCTTTTGTCTTTCTGCCTGGACCCAGCACCAATGCCTGGAAACACAGTAGGTGTTTAATAAATGCTTCTTGATTGAGCTGCAATTTTATCAGCATATGGGAACTCCCTCCACCAACTCAGAGGGCTACTTGTGACTTGGTGGGTGAGTCTTAGGGGGTTGTCTGACTCGAAAAGAAGTTGAGACTTTTCCATCATCTGCAAGTGTCAGAAGTGGGAGTAAACCAAAGCATTTCTGAATTCAAGTTCAGTACTCTGTCTTCCATACCAGGTTGAGTCTTTGTAGCACATCAGTAAGGATAAGGATTCTCATTCACAGAGGGAGCTCCCAGTTGAGAAATCTCCCTTTGCCAAGCCTGGCCAGCACATTCTCAATAATGAGAATTATTAGAGAGTTTTAGAGAGCAGCCTAAGGTCCTTGCCCAATGTTGTTGTTGATATTGTTGTTATTGAGTCATTTCAGTCATGTCCAACTCTTTGTGATCCCATTTGGAGTTTTCTTGGCAAAGATACTGGAGTGGTTTGCCGTTTCCTTCTCCAGTTCATTTTACAGAGGATGAAACTGAGGCAAACAGGGTTTGCCCAGGATCACATAGATAGTTAGTGTGTGAGTCCAGATTTGAACTCCTAAAAAAGAGTTTTCCTGATGACAGGCCTGGTACTCTATCCACTGCACCACTTAGTTGCCCCATGTTACATAGCCAGTATGTGTCAAAGATGGGACTTGACTCTCTGTCCATTACTTCATTCTTGCCTCTCAACTCATTAATATTCTTCCTAAAATATGATCCGCTCAACTGAACACAGTACTGAAGATGTAGACTGACTAGTACAGAATGCGTCAACTCCCTCTTCTTGGACACTATCTACCTCTCTTGGCTATCATGTCATCATAGATATTACACTTTTGACTCTTACTAAGCTTGCGTTCCACTAAAATCCCTGGGTCTTTTTCATATGAAAAAGCCACATTTTCCCTGAGAGAAAGAGGGAAACATAACTATATGTACTATTTGGCCTGAAAAAGAGAAGCTTAATAAGCAATTTGATGTCACTTTTTATACTTTCAACTTAGACAAGAAGGACGTGTTTCTTAAGAATAAAGATTTTAATTCCTAGAAGCAGTTAATGAGGGTGATTATAGAGTCTCTTTCTATAAGGCTCTTTGGAAACAGATAAGACCTGTATCTGTCTGGGAAGGTTTAGAAATGATTTTTCCAAAGCTCAAGAGAATGGACAAAATAACCCCTGGGGTCAATTCACCTAGGGGCCTGTTCTATCTCTAAGATTCAGTGGATGCCATTATCTTTCTGGTTGCATTTTCAGTGTAATTTCAAAGACCTACTTAATCGGAATCAGCCATATGTTTACACTCTCAGATATACAAAACTTAACCCAGAAATTAAGAGCCAAATTTCAGATTCATGTTGGGGGGGGGACCTTCTTAACTATTAGAACTGTGCAAAACAGGATGAACTATCTATACTGGTGTTAGGTTCCACCTTCTTGGAAGTCTTCAAGCAGAGTCTGGATGGTCATTTGTTGGACAAGATATAGAGGAGGATTCCTTTAAGGTATGGATAAGACTGGATGGTTCCTGAGACGCCTTCCAACTCTGAAGTTCTGCTATTCCAGTAATCTCTCCTTGTTCAGCCGTGGTGTGAATGGTGGCCTGCCATTTCTAAGAGGTTTATCATCCACCCTGAAATACATCAAGAAGACTCCCAGTGAACCAGTCTTTTGAGTTTTGCGACAAAGGACTGGGTTATTTTTCAGGGGAAATATTGGTGACCCACTTTTAAACTGGGCATTTCCTGCTGCTACTTCAGTTTAACACTTTTGCTCAGTTGGCATGAACAAAATGTATTCAAGACACAGGTTTTTTAGCAATGAATAGCCTTTTGGAAATACTTTTGGTTTCTAACATTTGGCATCAGGGAGCTTTTGGTGCCTATACAAAGAACACACACATCTACAAACAATCCATAGATTGTTGGGAGCAAGAAGCCGGGTTCTTTGCCTTAGAGAGGAAGGGCACAGAGAATTTCTACACAAGTAGGGCTATTTCTAAATTTGAGATGTCATGATTTGTCCATTCAGAAAGGCACAAGTCAAGCTCTGTGGCCTTCTCACAATGAAGGGGTGTCCAAAAATGGCTTCTTCAATGGCCCTGGACTTCCAGACTTTCCCACTCTTCCATTCCTTCAATAGTCACCAATCATCTAGTGTCATGTTTTACTTTTTAACCCTGGCCCCTCTTGTTACCATGGAGATGGGCCACAATCAAGAGAACTTCCTATAGGTCTCTAATTCAGGCTGTAAAACTTCCTTAGCTCACAAGGGAAGACCAGCCCCCATACCCTAATTCTCTCTACTCCACCTTTCAACTTCCTTCTAGCACCAAATGCCATCTACTAATTATACTATTTACAAATACATTACACTCCACTAAACTGATGGTGTTGGAGTGGGCCCTGGGTAGAGAGAAAGAGATGTGACCTCTTAGGTTTATCTTATTTAAGAGACTTCCCTCTCAGATTTTTACTGGATGTATCACAGGGGGCAGGTTGTGATTTGACCTGAGAGGCTGTGCAATATAATGGAAAGAGAGCTGAGCTTGGAGTTAAGAAGACCTCAGTTCAAGTTTTGTCTTCAGTTGGGAGTTCTCAATGGATCAGAGGTCCAGATTCTACATCCTCCCCTCTCTACAAATTCTGTATTGCTATTTGGTATTTCCCTGGTTTTATTTTTTAAAATATGCTATTTGCAAAGCACCTACCAAATTCATCACTTTTCACCACTGGCTTCCATTTAACAAATTAGACCCCAGAATCTCGCAGAGACAAAGGATTTCCAATTTTGGTTTGCACTGCAGGTGAATACTGATGAAGAGTCAGAGGATTCCAGCATAATAGAATTGAAGGGAACTTAGATGTCCTCTAGTCTAGAGAAGTCAAACATCCAACTTGAAGACTGCATACAACCCACAATGCCCTTGGGTGAGGCCAGAACCTGATTAAAATGTAATTAGAAAATATTTAACAAAATAATTAAAAATATAACTAAATAGATAATATCACATTTTAAAAACTAAGACAATATGAAGCCCACAGGCATCCATACTGACAGATTAGTGGGCCCCATTTCTATTTGAGTTTGATGCTTAGCTCACTTAGTCTACTGATTTAGTCCAATTATTTTCTTTTACAGATGAGGAAAGTGAAACCCAACGAGATAAAGTGACTTAACCATGGTTATAAAGCTATTATTTCTGTCTTGACTTATGGATTACGGTCCATACATAAAGAAAGCATGATTTGATTAGTGTGGGAATTCCCTTCACCAAATTTAACCCATTTGTAACTTAGAGTCTTAATCCCCTGAGCCTCAAAAAAGTCAAGTGATTTGCCCATGGTCACACAGTTAGGAAGTGTCAAAGACAGAATTTGAGCCTAGATATTCCAAACTCCAAGTCTGGCACTCTATCTAGGATGCCATATTACCTCTCTTAGTGTGGTAGTAAACTTTGGTATTAAGGTATTAAAACAAAGCAAACATTAAATGGAGTGAAGAAAGTACAAAAATAGGGGGTAGTGGTGCCAAAGTTTAAGGGTTTATTCCTGGGATTTCCTGACTCTCAACATACAGTTTATTCATCATTATGCAAATGATTTCAGTCTTAAAGTTTAAAGCTCCCAAAGTCAATCCATTCTGGTGCTATCTCCGCAGGCAGGCAATGGTGACGACATATACATGTTTACCAGCTTGTCTGTGCTCGTTACCTTAGAGACTGGTGTTCCGCCCTCCTTCCTTCAGGAACTGAGATCAGCCAACTACAGCTAATGGCTTCCAGATCTGCAGAGATGGGAGGCAGGATGTTCTGCACGGAGACTTTAGGAACTGCCTTTCAGGATTTAACACAGCCTCACTTGATCATCCTTTAAGAAAGGAGTTCTTAACCTAGGGTCCATAAACATATATGTTAATGAAATGAAAATACAATTAAACATAGATAATATTACATTTTAAAACTAAGACAATATATAGTCCACAGTATAATATGTGGTCCACAGTATAGATTAAGTATATATTAGTGGCCCCCATATATTTTAAACATATATGTTCATAGACCCTGGATTAAGAACCCCTGCCTTAAAGGATGATTAAATGAGATTGTGTCAAACCTGAAAGGCAGTTCCTAAAACCTCTATGTAGGACATCCTGCCTTCTTTAGCTTTTGTAATACACATATACATTATATGTATAAAATATATACATATATGTATGTATGCATAATATACATATAGATATATCTACATGTGTATATATTATACACATTATATATATACACATATGTGTGTGTGTATATATATATACATATATATATATACATATATATATACACACACACACACACATACATGTGTCTACACATATATGGAAGGAATAAGCATTTATATTGTGCCTATTGCATGCCAGACACTGTACTAAGTGCTTTACAATTATTTCCTAATTTGATCCTTAGAACAACCTAGGAAGTAGGTGCTATTATTATCCCCATTCTGCAGTTGAGAAAACTGAGACAAATTAAGATAAGTGACTTGCTCAAGGTCACATAGCTAATAAGTATCTGGGGTCAAATTTGAATTCAAGTCTTCCTGACTCCAGGCCTTGTGCTCTTTTGCTCTTTTAATTGTGTCAACTAATTGATACATATACACACACACTCAACACATATGCATATATAAAGAGAGACAGACATAGAGAGACAGAATCAGAGGGAGATAGAGACAGAGACAGAGACACAGAAAGAGATAACTGCATTTCAGTATAATTTATTTCCTTCGTAACCTACATATTTTATTTTATGAATTTAAAAGCACTGTTCTGAGAAATAGTCCATAGGCTTCACCAGGCAGCCAATGAGCCCATGAAGCAAAAAAAATATAAGGAACCCCTTCTATAGGATGAGGTTAAAGCATTTTAACTTGGCCCAGTCTTCACAGTGAGCAATGCTGGATAGTGAACTGTTGTAATATGTTTTTATTGTGATGTTCAATTCATGTAAATGCTACTTGTTCTAAACACGGAAATAAGCTGGACACATAAAGAAAGACACAGAAAGGAACCTGACCACTACTCTTTTGTGACCTACCAGCTTACTACATGCACTGAATAGAATGACCGGAAGAGGAAGTTTGGTACAATGAAGAGAGAGGGACTGAAAAGGCCAGGCAGGAGACCTGATCTCTAATCCTGACCCTGCCACTATTTACAAATACCATTCATCATCTTGGGCAGGTCACCTCATTTTTCCTATGCCTTCATTTTCTGTGCTTCAGTTTGTAAAATGAGGACCTAGATCCTTGAGGAATCAACCAATAGAATGTATTGAAAACTTATTATGCACTAGGCCCTGTGGTAAATGAGAGACATACAAAGAAAATGCAAAAGCAGACCTTGCCATGAAGGAGCTTACCTTTCAATAGGGGAGACAACTTGTGTAGGAAAAAGCATATAAAAGATAAATAGAAAGTCTTTACTTGGGAGAGGAACATTGCTCAACACAAAACCCCTGCATAACATGCCCTTGTTTTCTTGAAGACTTGCAGAGCTGGGGAAGGTCTCTAAAATTCACTTGTAGTTAAGAAAAAAGAAACCTACTCTTCCAGGAGTGCTGGTTGAATTTCTTTTTCCTTCTTCTCTGGGACTTGAAGACTATAAATATTCACTGTTGAATGTGCCTATTAAATTGATTTTTTTATTGCTATCATAAAGTTAGTAAGAATGTCTTAGTCAACCAAAACGTTAGCTGTGACTCACCATCCAGAGTATGAAAGAATTTTTACTTCGCAAGTCTCCGTATGATGACACCTTTACCAGCTATTAAAAGAAAGTATCCAATACATTCCAGTGAGTGGATAATCTATTGGCTTTTTACCTCTCCTTCAGCTTTCTCTTATAAAACCCTAAAAAATCATCCATCCCATAACCTCAAATCCCTTAACCCTTCAATTTTCTCTCAGGTCATCTTCCCTGCCCTAGCCACTCTCTCCTCCTCTCCCTATCTTGACTCCTTGGTGAATCAGTTCAACTCTACACTGTCCTCCTCTCTTGAATCCTTAGTCCCTTTATCACATAACCAATTACACCCAGCCAAGTCTCAGCCACCATTCATCACCTTTGCTCCTACATACATGCTGCCGAGCAAAGGTGGAGAAAATCATGCAACTGTTCTACCTTGGCTCATTACAGATTTGTTACATAACCTCAACTGGGATCTCACTCCTGCTAGGCAATCCTATTATGCCTCCCTTATCAACTCAGTATCCCCTCTCCAGAATGGCCCTTTCAAACTTTTTCATCTGTTTTCAAACCTCTCCTGGCTCCATATTTTACACACAAAAAAATTGAGGTCATTTGCCATAAGCTCCCTCTTTTCCTCTCTTTCTCATCTCCTATTACTTAAGTGCCTTCTGATACTTTCTCCTCCTTCACCTGTCTCACATGATGAGGTGGCCTTGTTCCTCACAAAGGTTGACTCCTTTACCTGCTCAAGCAATCTCACTCCATACTGTCTCCAAATGAAGGAGCCATAAGATTGTTCATACAGAGAATTACCAAAGCAAAAATGAAGCTGGCCTTGTGGATTTTACTGAGAGGTGGAAATGGAGACCCAGAGAGGGAGGGTTACTCACCCAGGATTGCACAGGCTTGTTGCTGGCCTAAAGCTAGACCCCAGGCATGCAGGCTCATGGTCCCAGGTTTTTCCATAATGCTTCTGCCATAATAACTACTTTTGAAAGAAAAAAATCAGTTAAAAATACTTCTAAGATCTGGGTGACAGGCTACTTATTTCTAATCATGGTCTACATAATAATAGGACAGCAAAAGAATGCAGATAGTTCTTACTATACATTGCTCTTTGTGTTCACCAAGTAGCTCTAATTGAGATTATTTATGACTTTTAAGTTTATGGTTAATTCAATAAAATTCAATTTTTAAGAATCTCTATAAGTCCATTTCCATAAATGTTTATGCACCTGCACTTGGAATTTCTTTCCGTATTAAAACAGAATGTACTCTTGATCTCTAGACTAGGAAAATGGAAATTAGTTTAATTGTTCAGTAGACTTGCATCAAAGTCCTCTTTGGCAACATCATGCCACTTAACCCCAGGCATTCTGGGAATGAAGGGAGCCCTCTTCTCTTTGAAAGAAGCTCAGTATGGAGAGGCTGCTCAATGTTCATTTGGAACACCTTGTTTAAAATACTTTAACTGTCAGGCAAATTTATCCTTTAAATGAAGGAGAACAGCAGAAGAACACAACACAAGTACATTGTTTAAATGAAATACACTTTACCTGTTTCCATTACACCAAGAGTAAAGAATTCATCCTTACTCCCTAGTAGCTGTGTTCTGTCTCAGCAAATACTGTTGGTGTGACCAGGGTCAAAACCCCAAGGAACAACATTATTACTTTATCCAGAGTCAAATACTTTGGATTGTGTCAGGGCAATTGAGAATGTTCTGGATTGTTTGTGGAGTAATCCACATGAAAAAAAAATTGATAACTTTTGTACTAGCTTCATTTCCAAATATATTCCTCTCTCCTCCCTTCTCCAAAGAGCTATCTCTTGTAACAAAGAATAAAAAAGAGAGGAGGGGAAAGCAGTACACCAAAGCTAATCTATAAATCAACCAAGTCTGACAGTATATGTAATGTTCCATAACCATAATCTCCCATCTCTACAAAGAAGGGAGAGAGCTGAATTTTCTCTTTTCTACTAGATTCCTACAATTACAGGGCATTCAATTTGGCTTCTGTTGCTAGTGTTTTTGTTTTTGTTTTGGCGTTTTGGTTAGCCAATCTGGGTTAAGTGACTTACCCAGGGTCACACAGCTACTAAATGTCAAGTGTCTGAGGCCATATTTGAACTCAAGTCTTCTTGACTCCAAGGTTGGAGCTCTATCCTCTGTGCCATTTAGCTGCCCCTGTTGCTGGTGTTCTTGTCATTTTGGGATCCCAGTCTTTAAGAAGTTTGTCATTGTTCAATTCAATTCTTTGAACTGAATTGAATTCAATTCCCCTTCTGAGGAGGCAAAAATGACATCTGAGAAGGATTGGGAAAGGCATTAGATGGGAAGTGGTACCTGAACTCTACTTACTTTAAAAGAAGCTAGGGACTGATTGTAAGAGATGCAGGTAAGAAATTAATGGAAGGAGCAGTAGCATCTACCATAACTGCCTGGTGTTCAGTTCAACAAAAGCTTATTAAGCACCGAGTATATGCTAGGCATGCAAGTGCTGGGAAATAAAGGGAAGGGGTGGGAATAAGCATTTAAGTGGTACCTACTATGGGCACTGTGCTAAGAGCTTTTCACAAATATCTCATTTGATCCTCACAACAACCCTGGGAGGTAGGTGCCATTATTATCCCCATTTTTAGTTGAGGAAACTGAGGCAAACAGAGGTTAAGTGACTTGCCCAGAATCACAAAGCTAGTAAGTGTCTGAGGCCAATTTGAGTTTACATACACACACATGCACGCACACATATATGTACATGCATACATGTGTGTATGTGAATCATATATATGATATATCTGATAGATACACATATAATACCTATGCGTGCGTATATCTATGTATTGGTATGCATATAAACATTAAGCAATACAAAGTAATTTCAAGAAGGAAAGGAAAATGAGAAGACGGGATTGGGAAAGCCATCAGATAGGAGGTGGTACCTGAACTCTACATTGAAAGAAGCCAAAGATTGAGGAAAACAGATGGATATAAGAAGGTGATGGAAGGAGCAGTAGCATCTACCACAGCTGCTTTATATTCAGTTTGGTGGTTTGATACTTGTTTAATCCACATGGATGTTTATTGAACATCCACTACACTCTTGGTACCATATATATGTGTGTGTGTGTATATATGTATATATATTTTTTTCAACCATATGTGTGTGTGTGTGTATACATATTCAACAAATCAAATCAACGAGTAGATTTTTTGAGGGTATACTATGTGTAAAGCACATTTCTAGAACTTTCTAGGTATACAAAGAAGCCTATGATATAAGAGGCAGTGTCATACAGAAGGAAAAGTATGGAATTTGAAGTCAGAAAGCCTAGATTCTATCTCAACTGTGGTACTTATTATTCCTGTGGCTTTGGGAAAATTCCTTCACCTCTTTGGGTCTTAGTTTCCTCCTCATTTGTAAAATAAGAGAGTTAGAATATATGATCCCCAAGGTCACTTTCAACTTGGTCCATCACGTATCTTTTGACCTTAAGGAATGTGTAGTTTTCTTATAAGACTAAATCAATTGAATACTAATATTAATTCCATACACATGTTTAAGAACCTATCATAGGGAATATACAATATATATGGAACCATAAAAGTATGAAGAAGTATATTAAATGCTACATTACATAATTTAGACTATGAGTGCCTTGGAATGTAAGTTCCTTGAGGGCAGGGAGAGTTTGTTTTGTTTCCTTACCTTCTAGCAGAAATAATAGATGTTTCATAAATGCCTATTGAGTGAATGTCTATAAGGGAAAGAGCAATTCGGATAACGGTAGTTAGGAAAAAGGAGGGACTGAACTGAGTCATGGAGAATGGGGAAGAAAAAGAAGCATTGTGGGAAAACCTAGGACCCTGAGCCTGTGTGCCTGGGGTCTAGTTTTAGTCTAGCAACAAACCTGGGTAATTCTGGGTGAGCTACTCTCCCTCTCTGGGTCTCCATTTCCACCCCTCAGTAAAAGCTACAAGGTCAGTTTTATATCTGCTGCAGTAACTCTCTGTATTAAACAATCCTGTGGCTCCTTCATTTGACTTGTCTCCAGAGTTCCTCAGCTATTCATGTTTTTTACATTTCTTCTAACCTAATGTATCACATACAGACCAGTTTTTCATGTAGAGTGTTGAAACAAAGAATGTTCTAACTAGGTCATTTTCTTTTTTTTTTTTTTTGATGGAAAAGTGTCATATAAGTGAAGACTCTGGAAAAATATAGGGAGCTGGGGAGGCCCAATTCCTACATGCCAAAAAAACCTAGAAAATCCCAGAAACCCCAGGTGCTTCAAAGGGGCAAGAAAGAATCAACCACCTAGAGAGATGAACTAAAATCCATTGCTTTAACACTGAAGTCACATCAATAATTCAAAATCACCCCAGGCCTGTCTGAACCACTGAGGAAATAAATGATGCCAGCCCTGCCCTAATACCAACAGCCCTTTATTTTAATGGATAACCCATAGCCCTGCTCATTCTCTTTTTGATTTTCTTAGAGATGGACCATTAAATCAGAAGTTTTAGCAACTGCTTGAAAAGACTTCAGAAATGTGACCTTGGGTAATTTTGACAGATGCATAATGTTAGACAGACCCAGGGTGGAGGAGGTGAAATCATCTGTTTGGCCACCAGTTTCTCCCCTGTGCTGCATGGACAGAGGGTAACTGGGGAGCCAGCATTGTAACTAACTTGACTGAAATACACAAGAAGGGAAAACAGCCAGAGCATAAAATATAGATAGGAAAGGATTTCTCAAACTGTGAGAAACACAGAGGTACAAACAAACCCTATGGTTGGGCAGCTATGAAAACAATAGACACACACTGGAACTTCTAGGCCTGAATGGCAACGTGCCTGTAATTGTGCCTTGTATCTTACTGACTTATAACACTTTTGCCCCAGAGACCCTTGTGCATCTAGAAGACGAATGCAAGGAAGACACTAAAACTGCCTGTGTAAAATGAGCAAATAATTGCTCATGTATCTATAGTCAGCCAGGCAATAAATATTTATTAGGTACCTACCATGTGCAGGGGCAGGGGGGAGGGTCAGCTAAGTGGCACAGGGGATAGAGCACTGGGCTTGGAATCAGGAAGACTGATCTTCATGAGTTCAAATCCAGCGTTAGACACTTCCTGGCTGTGTGACTGTGGGCAAGTCACTTAACCCTGTTCGTCTCAGTTTCCTCATCTGTAAAGTGAGCTGGAGAAGAAAATGGCAAACTACTCCAGAATCTTTGCCAAGGACCCTTCCCCAATGGGGTCACAAAGAGTCAGGTGTTGTTGAATGACAACAACAATGAAATGTGCCAGGCACTGTGGTAAGCACTGGAGATCCACTCCCTGCCCTCGAGGAGCTCACAATCCAATGGAGGAGATGGCATGTAAGCAAATGTGTACAAACAAGATATGTAAACTGGGTAATTGGAGGTAATCAGCAGAGAGAAGGCACTAGAATCAATAGGGATTGGGAAGTGTTTCCTCTAGAAGGTGGGATTTTAGCTGGGATTTGAAGGAAGCTGGAGAAGGCAGGACTTGAGATGAGGAGGGAGAGAGTTCCAAGCATTGGGGATAACCAGAGAAGATGCCTGGAGTCTGAAGATAGAGCTCCTCGCGTGAGGAACAGTCAAGAATCAAGTGTCACTCAGTCACAGAGCACATGCCAAGTATAAGGTATAAGAAGATTGGGAAGGTTGTGTGTCTGGGGTAGGCAGATTTTGAAGGACTTTGACTACCAAACAGAGGATTTCATGTTTGATCCTGGAGGTGACAGAGAGCCATTAGAGTTTATTGAGTTTAAAATGTGGGGGTGACATGGTCAGACTTGTGCTTTAGGAAAATCACTTTACTACCTGAGTGGAAGATGAACTGAAGTGGAGAGACTTGTGTTGGGGAGACCAACCAGCAGGCTATTGCAGTAGATCTTCTCTGAGGCGAGGCGGGACTGCACCAGGGTGGTCAGCAGAGAGAAG